ATTTTCGAAGGCGTCAATACCATGAGTGGCAGGTGGCTGAATTTTACGGAGACTTGCCGCGGTCTCCAACTCTCCTCCTTTCTCATCCGGGCTTGGGACCGGCCATGGCGGAGTTACATTTGAAAGGATATTTGGAAAATCGCAAGCGAGAGGTTTGAGTGGAAAATTGCAATAGATAAACGCATTCACTTTTAGTAAATTTATTCGCTTGTAATGATTACTAACGTTGGTACGGAAAATGAAATAGGATACAGATTGCTTCTTGATGCTTCCTATAAATCATATTCAATACAAGCTACTGTAGTTTTCAAGGTTTGATCGTGTTACCCAAGCAGTGGCTGCGAAATGGTTTATTATTGCTTGGAAAAGGTGTTTCCACCATTAAATTCAGTAACATTGCTTCGCCATTATATTCCATTATGCGGTGCGGTCAGTCATTCGATGTTTTCCATTCACATCCTGAATCCCGAGTTGCTCACTAAGTAAATTTGATTTAACGTTGCTTATTGCTTACTGTTCAGTAAAAATAAAGCATTGTAAATGTTATGTATTCTGTTTATGCGGGGACAGATTATATTATTTCGGTGTCTAGAAGCGAGCAACGAGTGAGTGCGTTATATTCGTGCAGTTATCATTTCGGAGCTAGTTCGGTCAGTAAGTACCTTACTCTGATGACAGTGCGATCATATCCGAAACGGTAACTGCTAGAATACAACGTGCGCAAGTTAGATTGAGAATGACACAGTCAGCAACGTGGAAAAGTAATGTTTTGGTTCAGCTTGTCCTCAAGAAAAAACACCGTTATGAGTTCTGAGAGTTTCACGAAGTGAATACATTTTTTCCTGCGTGTAAATGTCTTTTTTTAATCCGTTATCATGAGATCCTGTTTATATTTTAGAACTGTGTAAATGCTTATATGTTGTTCACCTGTTGATGCACAGCAAAAGATAGGTAGTAAACTTAGGCTTTATACGATCAAAGATTGCAGCTGTTATGACTGTTGTTAATAATACGTTTAAATGATTGAACACGTGACGAATATCGCGGCAGCCTTTAGATTAGCCAGGTAGTTGATGGAAAATGTTGGCGATCTGTTGCTCGTGAGATTTAAGAAGTCGAGAAATCATATACACAGTGGACTATGTCCAGCTCTCCTGTATCAGCCTTATTTCCTTCCTGCCTTTTTAAAGTATTACGGAGGTCAATGAAAAGCATAGACTAATTGTACATGGCTTCAGTTGCAACGTCACTGACAATGCGAATCAATATTTTATATCGTTTTATGTTCCCATTGTTAATTAATTGCTTTATAATAATTATTACCGATATGGCATTTCCTATCATATTTCCGTATTCGCACTTCTTAGTAGCACCGTCCCCTTGCTTCTGGTAGTCCGGAACTATCTAAGTGTGCTAGACTCAATTGTGTTTGCAGTGCATTGACGGAAAACCGCTCTACTTTGTTGGATACAACTTAACCTGTTGGAACATCAGCGGATATACTTCGATTTGTAGGCAACTGTAATAAAAATTAACCCCAGTATTATAGGTTTACTATGAAATTGCTGTAAGAAATCGACGTTTCGTTATGAAGTTGATCTCACGAATCGTCAATGATGGCAGGTGGCCAGCGTGCAGCATGTACGGAGAAATCTGAAGAGACCTGTTTTCACAGAGAAATTCTATTTTCTACACCATTTTGCCGCTTCCTTAGAAGCAGAGTAATATCGACCTGAAAATCCAAATTTCATAAACCATAAACGCTCTGAAAATGAAAATGGCTTACGGTTTTGGTCAAAATAAACAACAATCGTTAAAATAGATTGCCAGTAGAGTGCTTGTGATGGAATGGTTTTTTAGATTTGTCTTCGGCATTCATTTCCGCCTGGTAAAAAGTTAAGAATGTGTTGCGTCATCTTTGAGCCTTCATCCACTAAACTCTTAACGAAAGTTGGCACTGCAAGTAGTATAACTTGCTTATTGTATATTCTTTTGCAGACTTAAAAATGATAAACTTTTACCCTAATAACTGTATTAATCTGTTTTATATTTTGCTGTTTTTTTAATTTATGCCTTCGAGTTAATGTATCATCATATGTAGTTAAAACAGCATTAATCAGGGTTTATTCATAAGCAACGTAGCAATGTCATCAATCGGATGATTCATCAGTACCGACGTGGACTTCAAGTTCCAAACGTTACAACGGCTGCAAATAACGAAAAGAACTTCCGAAATCAGCCCTCTTTTCAGTGAAGAAGGTCGATGAGACACGGACGGAAAAGGCGGTGCTGATTATTCATGCAATTTACCATGTCGTTCTCGTTAGGTACAAATGAATCGTGTTTTATGCGGTTTTCTGTACGAACACAAATGTCTGAACAAATTAATCAATTTTCATATATAGTATTTATATATTTCACAGAGGTTATTTAGTTTAATACATGATTCATTTTTACAGGATATTTGCAATGAACGATGCTGCCATATCGAATGCACTCTTTCTAAATGCAAACTTGGGCATCGCCGTCTATATGTACTACGCAAAGCACATGAAGCGAGTGACCACCAGTGCAAGGGTGATATACAGCGTATTTACGACGATTCTGTTCAACTTTGGTAGCGTTTTGTTTTGGGCTACTGCTAAAGCCGTCCTGCCAAAAAACGGAGCTGCTCGAATGCTGTTCGGGGTTTTCACCAGCTTTTGTTTCTTGGCTGTCGGCAAAGATTACTGCATGTACATCAACAGCCTGTCATCGCCTCCTCCTTCGGATGCCGAGTGAAAAGTTATCCAAAAGACTTATGTTGTCTTGTAGTCGTTTCTCAGTATTCCTTGCCGAATCTGTGGTTAGCTGATGTTTAGGATTCGTTCTTCGTCAAGATTCAAAATGCTTTGCTTCTTATTGCAGGTTGCGTTCAAATTCTGGTTTGGTAAACGAAAAAAAAACGATCAAAATTCTATCCGATTGTTCATTAAAACTTTATTCTTTTTCAGTTTCGTTTATTTTTCATGTTTCCGTCTAAGTTGATAAACAGAAATTTGGGTGCTTAATCGAAATCTGATGGATTCGATCATGCCGCTGAGGCAAGGTTAGGTGATTGTTGCATACGGTAAATCGACAGTGCGGGTTACTTGAAGAAAATAGTAAATTCCATGAGCAAAGTTTGTTAGGGAAATACCGCAAATCGTGACGGAAGCGCATTGGCATTAAATTAAGATGCTCGAAATTAGTTGTGATAATGTGCATTCAGGGTTGCTTAGCTGTTGCTCCAGCTCTCAGGGTTGCTCCAGCTTCTGCAGATTGTACCGATAGATAAGTTGTCGGTTGGAGTTTGTATC